CTGGCCTCCCACATGGCCAATCAAGGTTTAAGTCCTGGACCTGGTAGCTTGCTTTTTTGCCCCCTCACCCCCAACCCCTGTCTGATCAAAGTAAATAATAATAATAATAATAAATTTTTAAAAATTGCCAGAGGGTACATGCCCTCGCTGGCTGGTGAGAGACAGAGAGAGGAAGAGGGAAAGCAAGAAAGTACCCTTCACCATGGTGCGAGGTCATGCCACAATACCCTTCCCCTCTATTTCTCCCTCCTTTCAGGATTCTGGGCACACACGCATACATGCCCTGCATGTGTTTCTCAAAATGCTGGGTCTGGAACTTGAACTGAGTTATCAGCCATGGGGGATTCAGCCACCTCAACTACCATACCACAAGTTGGTCCAAGAATCTGCATTTCTAACATGTTCCCAGGTGATGGTGGTGTGGTTGGTCTAGGACCAGACTTTAGGAACCACTCTGCTAAGGTCAAGATAAAAAGATTGTGAAATACTTAATATTGTTCACTAGGGTTTTTCCCCTACTTTGTAATTTTTTTTAGAGTTTTTTGCCTTAAGGTACATGCACTCACCAGAGAGAGAGAGAAAGACCATGAGAGGGAAAGTGAGAAATCACCCCCTGGGGGGATGATCACAAAGCAATACTTTCTCCTCCATTCTCCTTCCAGGATCTTGGGTACATATGCACACACGCCAGCCTGAGTTTCAAGCCACTGGTCCAGGACTCAAACTGCAGTCAGCCATGTGGGAGTCCAGCGACGTAACTGCTATACCTTCTGCTGTCCTTTCCCCCCACACTTCATAATTTTAAAGACAGGACTTGACATGATATCTGGCCATGGAAGACAAGGTGGTTAATTCTTAATTTTCATCCCACTTTCCCTCCCCCATCCTCCTATTTGTTAATGTATGTTAATTTTTCTTTGTTGAGATTTATAACATTTACATTCTAGACTACAACTATGATTCTTCCATTTAAAAATCATAGTCCTATATTTTTATGGACTCAGAGCTCATAATCATTCCTTTTCCTGGCTTTTGAACCTGGCATCATCTCTCTTCTGGGCTCCCATTATATGTCCAGAACCAGGACTTACTAGGCTGAAAGGTGTATCTTATTTCTGCAGGCTTTTTGGCTTTCCCAGGCTGCCCTGAGACCTGGGAAATGCCTAGTCCTGATGGATCTTTCCTGTTCCGCTGAGGTTCTAAGATGGCAGCAAAGACATTGTTTCAAGGGTTTTCTTAGACTCTCCTCCACAGGGCCTGGTCATCCTGTCAGTCCCTTTGTCCTTATGGAGACCATGATTTTGTCAACTTCATTTCTTTACTCAGTGTTACTTATGGAGGACAGGGGAGGGCTTGAAAGTCATATCACACCTTGTTAAATTAGCACCTTCTCCTCCCTTCCTTGTTTGGTTGTTACTGGTGAATTTATGCCTGGTAGAAATTGAAGTTACTAATAGAGACTGAAAGAATTTCTGATCCAACTTTACTCTTTCTGCTTCTGCCTGGAAGTATTCCTCAATCTTTTAAAAAAATTATTGGAAAATATAGGATTTATTAGGTAAAATGTGGTACATAAACTGTTATAATGTTAATGTAATATTTTTTCCAACAGAAAAAAATGAAAATGTATCTTCCAAAATATTTACAATGGTTTTCTCTGCGACAAGACTATGGGTGATTTTTTAAATTGAAATTTATGTTCACATGGAGCTATAAAAAAGAACACAAAGAGATCCTGTTACCTAGTTTTCCATAATGCATCAATTTTTAAAATCAATAAAACCACACATAGAATAGTGCCTTCTGAGGTTTGTGAAATCAACAGGAAAGAAATGTGATGAGGGGATGCTCAATCAAGAAGGCTAACTTTTCTCTCACCCTTTTGTATACATGTCCATTATAGCTCTTAGCTCTCTATATTCCAAGTCTTTGTTTTTGTGAATTTCTTCCCCAAACAGTTGATGAAGTTCCTCAGAGCAGGGACTGTGTCTTATTGTCTCTGTCTTTCCATAGCCAGTGAAGGGCCTAGCATGTAGGGGGAGTAAGGGGAGGAGGCAATGGTATGGAATTTATCTAAAAAATTGTTTCTTCTCAAGTCTTATGCATTGGAAAATTAAAATTTTCCAGTCAATTAAAATGTTATGGTGGTGCCAGCAGTTAGTGTAATGGCTATGTCGCTGAACTCCGATGTAGCCGACCGCGGTTTTAGTCCCAGACCTGGTGGCTTAAACTCACGCCAGGCACATGTGCATGCATGCCCAAGATCCTGAGAGGAGAAAGGAGGTGAAGGGATTTCGGTGTGGCCATCCCCCCTGGGGGGGGTGATTTCTCACTTTCTATCTCTCTCTTTCTGGCGAGCACATGCACCCTATAGAACAAAACCTGTCCAAAAATAAATAAATAAATACTATGGATAACCTTTTGTTCAGTGTCCACAAGACAATTAGATATGTAGTTCCTAATAAACATATTCACTACTCATTCATTCATCATTCAACTAATATTTAATGAGTTGCTGTTATGTATCAAGTAGGATACTGGGTACTACAGATAAATGGTGAATAAGGCAGATAGCCCTGTCCTTATTTTATAGTCTGTATTATAAAGCAAGTGTTTTTTTCAGGCTTTAGGTCTTTTATATATATAACATTTTCTGAATAAGTATTTTGCAGATAACATGCTTTGCATTTGAGACAGTGCCAAAAGTAATTCAAATATGCCTAAATAGGGAATCATTGTGGAATGAGTAATATTAAATCAACCATCTTACTCTTAAGTGCTATAATAAATAAAATAGAGCTACAGAATCAATACAATTTACCAAGTTACATTTAAATTTTTAATGTTCATCTTTTTCTATTATACTATTCATACCATAAAGGCAGGGTCCATGTGTCTTCTCCTCTTGTTCTTTGCTGTAATTTTAGTACAGTATCGTGTATTACATTGTTGTGAATCAAATGATTAAATATTCAAGGCTCATAATTGTCCCCTATAATGTCGGAACAAATGAAATCAATTATTTTAAAATTTAAGACAATTTTTAAGTATCTAACACAATATACAGTGGCCATACTAATGTATGCATGCATTTCTTTCTTGCCATAAGTAGAATCTTAAAGATGTTTGGCAAGCCTGACCAATAAATATAGTACAACACAAGACAGGCCATAGATAATACCTAAATTTATTGCACTATTAGCAATGAATCAAGTGTTCTTGTCCCCTTTGTCACTAACTCACTTAAGGAAAAGTGTATCTCACCTTTTAATATGTTAAAAAAGAAAACAACTAAATGCTTATAGTAAGACTTTTCATAATCCAGTCATGAAAAAACAAGTTCTTACCAATGTTCATATTTTTATTTAGAAAGCTTGGTCTTTGTAAGTGTAGAACAGTTTCAAACACCAGCAGGTCCTGTCCAAAACTGTAAGTCTCATCCAAAATTAAAAGAATGTTCTCTTGGGCCAGCTGGTGGTGTGGTGGTTAAATGAGTCAGATCCCACATGGCCAACTTTGCAGTTCAAATCACTAACCCCGGTGGCTTGAAAATCATTCCAGGCACATGCACATGTGCGTGCATGCCCAAAATCCTAAAGGGAAGAATAAATGGAGGAATAAATTGAGGAGAAGCACTGGGGGTACTTTCTCATTTTCCCTCTCTCTTTGTCTCTGTGTCTCCCCCAGAGAGCACGCAAACTCTGGCAAATCAAAAAAAAAAAAAAGACAATGTTCTCACAAACTGGCAAGTAACTTCTTCAAGCAGAAAGAGCAACAGTATTTTATTTTATTACAAATAAACATTTCACAAAAGTTTAACTGGGAATGTATATATACTGTTAAGCAGAACACAGAAAACATAAAGAAACAAGGTATTGGAACTTAAAAGTTTCATTTAAAATCTCACTGATTTTATCTTACTCATAGTAGGTACGCAATACATATCAACTGAACTGAAAATAAACACTCTAGAACCTGTGCTTGCAAAATGTGTAATGCAGTCATTGTAAAGTACAATTTTCAAATATGACATTTTTGTCTGTAAGATTTTTTAAAAAGCCTTTTAAAAATATGATATGCACAAGCTTGCCCTGAGGGAAAAATAAGATGGAATATAGATTATAAAATCTTTACATATTTTCCACAATAGCATTTGAAATTGGAAAACCGCAAATAGTTGTGGAAAAAACTGAATGAACATATTACTAAAAATTCAGTGCACTCACAACTACCTGATGGAAAATTTGAAGCACCGTTTCTCTTGCTTTCTTATAATATGAAATGTATGAATTATATAGGACTTGATTTTCAGAAACTTAAGAAAACTTTAAGTTAGAAGCCAAAATGTCATCAGAAAAAGAAAAATCCAGTATAAAATTTGCTACCATAAGGCCACTGTTTAAAGTTCTTTCATGTACAGACAGTATACAATTCGGATACTTTTGTTTTTATTACATAAGCAAAACTTTCAACATATAAACTGGGTATCACTTGGTTAACTTCTCTCTATGAAATCATGCTCAGAAAAAAATGCATCAATAAATAATGCCCTTCGAGTGATTCTTTTGACTTTTTGTGAAAGAAACTGTAGTTAATACAACTTTTAAATTGAATACTGTAATTTAAAAGCAATTAAGTGTAAAAAAGTTGCAGCATTCCACTACTGAAAAATAAAATTATCAAGAAAGTTACAGTATTAGTGCCTTAGTGCCAATTCTAACTCCGACAAAAATGAGATGTTCTCCAATATCCTCCTGTAGTGTCTTCCATTTGTATCGATTCCAGATTAGATTTCAGTGGCAACATTTGAATATTCCTATTGAGAGAAAACAAGAGAAATACAGACATCAAAAGAAGCATCAGATAAAATATTGGAGCTAGAATTTGCTTCACACTGAAAATTTCAGAATATTTTCATTTATGTAGTACTACTTGCACCCAAGATCCCCCCAATGTAACAATAGAGAACACCAAAGTAGGTGTTCAAATGATAAGTCAATTGGAGAAAGAAAACATATGGCACTAAATAACACTGATATTAGTAATATGATGAAAACAGCATTCTGTTGTTTAAGTGAGCTTCAGTGGGGGCATCCCTGCCATAAAACCCAGACTCTTAAACCTTAGTCTCTCAAGTACTGACTAAGCCTGACAGGACACATGCATGGACATCAAACAAGTATTTTATCTTTTTATTCATATGGCATCTCTAATTCTAAAACAATATGGAGTTGTCTAACATGATTCTTAACTGCAGAGAAAACTATTGGAGAGGGAGACTTTCTTTTGGGTGATTACCTACAACATAAAAAGATGTAAAGCTTTAATAAGTACAGGAAAAGTAATTCACAAGAATGATAAGACGATTAAAGAGTAGAATAAGATGATTAAAGAGTGAATGTGGATTCTATATTGTGATACAATGCAAAATATTAAATTACCAATCATGAACTGGACATGAGACCATGCAACTGATGAAAGAGCAGAAACGGTAGAATGGCATGTTTTTGGGGGACATTAAATATAAAAATAATTAATTCATACATACATCCTTACCTTTTACTAGGATCTTATATTATTAAAACTGAAAAAAAATTTAAGAATTTATTTATTTTGACATTTGGGTTAATATGGAAATGTTTAATTCCAAACAAAAACAGTGCTGATAGGAAATTCTTACTCTTCTATTTTGTTCAACAATATTCTTGTAATACATGCGTATATAATTCTGTCAACATCATTCTTTCAAATAGAGGTAGACATCATTATATCCTATTTCTTTATTCATTATACAATAGAGAAATCATATAAACTTATCTTCAACTAAAACACGTTACCTACTAACAATTTTAAAAGGAAAGTCTAACTGCAATAATTCCAAAGAAAAATTAACTGAAGTATCTTTATTTATAAAAATGTGCAATTATTTGTAATTACATTCACCCTTGATATAGCTTCTTCCATATTCTCTCTCAAATTGAACTCCCTCCTTTCTAGCGATTTGAAAACCAATTTGAAGAAGAATGCTGAGCTAGATATACAAACACCACTCTTGTCTAGGTTTTCATAACTTGGCACCTGGGTCACTGCAAAAGTCCCCCTCTTGGTCTTCCTAGTATATCATTGCTCTCCCCAGTCCCTGCCTACCCACTGCTAACCATCCTAAAGGGCCGCTTTTTCATTCTCAGTCTGGGATGATATCCTACTGTTACCACATCAAATCCTAAGCATTCTACTCAGCTTTTGAGGCCCTCTGTAAAATGTATACCTCTATCTCTCCCCAACCTTTTATCCTACTGCCAAACACTGATCTTAGGTTTTAGCATTTTCTATGTCCTGCTCTTCTCCATGCCTCAGTTTACAACTAACTTCCTCTATGAAGAGGGTGTTAGTGAAAGTACTAGCATAAATCCCCTGACCCATTCCTAACATATAGACCTTCTCCTTCCTTTAGGCATTTACCACCTATGAAATTAATTCCCCCAAAATATGGCTGTGTAGAAAAGAGCTAATGTAGCAGTTCTGACGGTTGGCCTTTGAAAGGCCCTGGCCAGTATATAGATACTTAAGTTTCAGGAGGGTTCCTACCATTAACTGATAGCTGCTGAAACTGTGTAAATAGTAGGCTTTATGGTGAACACCACTTTCCTCCTGGGAGTCTGGGATTGATGTACATGCCTGGCAGGAGGTGCCTATGTGACCAATTCCCAGTAGAACACCCGGGTATTGAGCCTCTAAGGAGCTGCTCAGGCTGCCATTTCAACATGCATTGTCACAACTCATGACACATCCTGTGTTGACTTCACTGGGAGAAAACCTTTGGATATGAGCACCTGGTCTCCCCTGGACTTTCCTTTATGTACCTTTTCCCTTTACTGATTTTGTTGTGTATTCTTTCACTGTAATAAGTTATAGCCATGACTGCAACCATGTGTTGAGTCCTCCTAGAGCAAATGGATGGATGGATGGATGTGTGAGTGTGTGTGTAAATATATACTTAGATTCGATTCCATTGACCAAGCACTTTCTAAAAACTAACTGTATGAAAGGCAGTAAGGGAAGATAAAAGACTAATGAGACATCCCCTACCCTCATGAAGTTGATAATCTATTGGAAGAAATACAAAGGTAAGCAGCAATAATTAGAGACCAAATGAAACAAAAGTTTAAAAAGGGGCTTTGGTAAGTGCTATGGTTTGAATATACCCTCCAAAACTCATACTGGAATTAACTGACATTGTGATGGTATTAAGAGGTGATATTTTTAAGAGGCAATCGGGTAATGAGGCCCTGCCCTCATGACTGGATGAATCCTATTATCTTGAGAATCCATTAGTCACTGTGGGAGTTTGGCCCCCTTTTTTCTTTGTTTCACATGCTCACTCCCTATGTGATACCTACTGCCATGTAACAATGATTCAACAAGAAGGCCCTCAACAGATATGGTCAGTTTGTCAATCTTGGACTTCCCAGCCTCTAGAACCACAAGCCAAATCAGTTTTTTTTTTTTTTTTAATCAGTTACCCAGTCTGTGGTAGTCTATTATAGCGGCAGGAAATGGACTAAGATGGTAAGGCTTTATAGTGCATGAGAAAAGGAAAGTAGGGTTTAATAAAGAAAATGTGGTTCATCTTGTCAAGGTTCCCTGCATTAAGTCAATGTCCTATATGTGTGATTTTGTATTACAAGTGAATAGGATCAATGCTTTCATTTTGAAAATTTTAAAGAAATGTTGAAAAGTATATACACACATGTAACCACATCACTCAGAAATAACAGGTGTTATTGTTTTGTCATGTGCTTTGTATTTTTTGAAATAAAAATCTACCAGCATTTATAGTAAAAGAAATTAAAATAAAGATAGAATGGAGATCAGAAGACTATTTTTGGCCAAGAGAACAGAAGGAACAAAGGCACATATACACAAAAATGTTTGTTATGCTCCAAAAAAGCAGAACTCCATGGGGAAATGTGGTTAGAAAGGTGAGCTTAGGGTTAGGCCTGGCTAACAAGTTTGGTCTCTCTTTTACATTCAGTAGAATACTTAGAAGATGTTGGTTCAAGAGCAGGCAGTAGAATCCTTAGAAGATGTTGGTTCAAGACAGATATGCAATAATCTGTGTTTCAGCATAACTGATTTAGTAGTGAAACGACTGTAAAAGAAAATCACAGGAGACAAGAAAATAAGCTAGGAGGCTCTAAAGCATCCAAAAATAGACCAAAAATACCTAAGAATGTAGAATATAATAAAAGTGGTATTTTTAGTCAGCAGATAAAGGGCAAATTAGTCAATAAATATGTAAGAAAAACTATCTATTGGGGAAAAATTAGATCCTGATCTCATCTCATAAAAATAAATTATAAATGGATTACATGCTTATCTATTTAAAACATTAATTAGAAAACCATTTAAGGTAGAAAATAACTTCATATAAGCATTATATATGAAATTATATAAAATTTTCAAGCCATATGGGATAAACTTTATACAGATTCATAAATATTCATAAATATCTAAAAGTTCTATAATGTAAAAGCCAGTATAAACAGCTGACAAACATGAAAAAGAGCACTGGCAAGATTTATGACAGGTTAGTGCTCTAGATAGATCAAGAGGTCTTACAAATCAGTACAGTAAGTGCCATCCCCTAACAGAAACACTGGAAAAATACAGAAAGAAAGAAACTTAGGGGAAAAACACAAATGGTCAATGGACATATTTAAAAACAAAGATACTTAAACCATTAAGAATCTAAGAAAGGCAAACGAGAACTATTCTCTGCTATATGAGACTGAAAACTGAAAACAAAAACTGATATTGTATAGTACTGGCTAAGGTATACGTAAGTGGGATCTTTCATGTATTGCTGGTGAAAGTATAAATGAGTAAAAGGGGCAGTATGCCAAGGTACCAAGATGTCAATGTGAAAACCTGTGATCTGTTCTAAAGTCATCAACAGAGGTTTGGTTAAGTCAGTCAATGATCACTGAACCAGTGTGTGCAGATCCTTAAGGATACACAAAGACTTTTCAAGGAGTTTGTGGGTACAGACAGATTTGGGAAATTAATCTCTAGGTCTTCAAATTCCCAATGTTCTCTTTCCAAAATTATGTAGCCTATGTAACTGGTTAAAACTGGTTCTGCACCTCCTACCTTACACAAGAAAGATACACTTTCCTCTCATCCTGAATCTTATTATTTTGTATTACCTGAGATCCCTCTCCTCCAAAGGGGGTCAATATGAAATATTGGTGACGATGTCAAGAAAATGAACCAACTCTAACAACTAGTAATAAAAAGTGTGCTTCTGCAAATCAGATGGCTTCCAATACTTTGCCTTTGTTTAATAAAATTGAAAGAGAACAAAATCAAGCTTTCAGTGACAGAACATTCAAAATACTTTTTTGATGATAGATCTTAAGTGACTTTTTTGGCCTATACTTCAGGTAAGTACAAAGAACATGGTAGCACTGCTATAATAGAAGTCCTTTGGAACTAGCAGTTAGAGTAATGGCTATGTTGCTGGACTCCCATGTAGTTGACCGCGGCTCGAATCCTGGACCTGGTGGCTTAAGCTCACGCCAGGCACGTGTGCATATGTGTGCCCAAGATCCTGAGAAGAGAATGGAGGAGAAGGGATTGCAGTGTGGCCATCTCCTCGGGTGGTGGAGGTGGTGGTGGTGGTGGTGGTGGTGGTGGTGGTGGTGATTTCTCGCTTTCTATCTCTCTTTCTCTCTCTGTCTTTCTGGTGAGCGCACATGCCCAATAAGAAAAAAAACCTCTCCAAAAAAAAGAAAAAAAATAGAAGTCCTTTCA